TTAAAACTGTTGGAAACATTTGGAACTAATTTTTCTTGTTTTTTTTATCCTAGGGTCTCTATGGTAGTGTGATAGTGGCAGGAGGAAACACGCTAATACAGAGTTTTACTGATAGATTGAATAGAGAGCTCTCTCAGAAAACTCCCCCAGTAAGTTCTATTCATTCTCTTGTGGTATTCTTCAGTCATATGTGTCCTCACCAGTAGTGTAATTTTATATTTAAGTTTTCATTTTTTAGTAAATAGATGATATTTTGTGTGTGCCTGGATCATCCCAAATCCAAAAATCTGAAATGCCTTAAAATCCAGAACTTTCTGAATGCCAACATGATGCTTGAAGGAAATGCTCATTGGAGCATTTCAGATTTTCAGATTTGGGTTGCTTAACCAGTAAGTATGATGCAAATATTCCACAATCTGAAAAAAAAGTCTGAAATCCAAAACATTTCTGGTCCCAAACATTTCAGGTAAAGAATACTCAACCTGTGTTATACTTCCTTATTAACTCAATTTTCCTGGGTGACATCTGTTTGTTACTCTTACATTATTTGAATCTCATCTTTATTAATTTCATGCTTAAGTGCCTATAGTCTACTAAACACAAGGGATACAAAATATAATCTCTGCCCACCAGGGGTTCAGTCTGCTAGGGTGGTTAGACATGCAGAAAATGATTGTAATGTGCTACGTGCTTCAGTATGCCATGAACCAGGTGCTCTTGAGAATACTGAGAAGCAAGCACTTAACTCTCCAGGATTGTCAGAGGAAAGCCTCATGAAGCTGTTGTCTGAATGAACAGAGTTCAACTGATTGCTAATTTATGTAAGGACATACAGGTGAAGGGAATCTCCTGTACAAGCATGTGAAGTGAAGATGGCATATTTCAGTAATTCAAAGTAGTTGGCTTAATAGTACAGAAGTGGAGTACAGAAGTGGTATGGCTGGAAGGATGGATGGTATATTAGTTTCCTAGGGCTGCTGTAACAAAGTACCACAAATTGGTACTTTATAATAGAAATTGGCTTTACAAAGTACCACAAATTGGCTTTACAATAGAAATTTATTGTCTTGCAGTTTTGGAGGCTAGAAGTCTAAACTCAAGGGGTCAGCAGGGCCATGCTCCCTTTGAAATCTATGGAGAAACTGTTCCTTCCCACTTCATAGCTTCTTGGTAGTTTGCCAGCAATCTTTGGCTTGCCGTTGTAGCACCTCTGTTCTTTTCTTACAAGGACACCAGTTATAGTGGATTAAGGGCCCACCTTACTCCAGTATGACCTCATCTTAATTTATATCATAATTACATCTGCAAAGACCCCGTTTCCAAATTTGGTCACATTCACAGGTGCCAGGGATTGGGACTTCAACCTATCTTTTTGAAGGCACAATTCAACCCACAACATATGGGTACCAGATCATGTCTTACTAATGAGTAGGTTGGATTTTATTCAAATATAACAGCAAACTTACAGAATAAAATCTGGCAGAAGAGTGATGAGCTCTTAAGTTTGTTTTAAAAAGATCACTGAGAGCAATGTGACCACTTTTAAAAGGATAGAAGAATCAGGTTTGGAAGGAAGGTAATTTACATGGTACATCAGTAACAGAATAGCAGTCTTTAAATTTCAAAACTTCTATCTAGTGGTTTTTTTGTAAGGTGTTCTGCACTAAATAGTAAATTTTAAAACATGTTTTAGGGGTTATGTAGGCCCTAACAATATCTATAGAATTTGTATATTAAGTATTCTTTTGGTTTCCGATATAAACGAATGTTGTACATATGCCATGTTTTTTAATAATTAAAAGTGGTATTTGAATATTGATATAGACAAAAGATTGGCATCTGGTTTACATTTACTACATTCTTGGAAATACAATCTGATCTAGAGCATACCTCAATTACAGTACTAATCATTAGGTTTCATAGAAAGTCCCTGAATAAAGAGTATAGACATAGGTGTTCCAGAGTGTGGTCAAGACCAATTAGACACTGACCATGTCCTTTACGAGGTAACTAAAAATCAATGAAATAACAGGAAAAAAATTCCATTGTAATAGATAATCAATCTTCCTCACCTTATAAAAACCCATATCACCCCTCCTACCCCCAGCATTCCCTGCCCCCCACACATTTATTTCACTGTGAAAAAGACTCAAACTATGTATTCATATATAGAATAATTGGAAGATATCAAAAACTTGAAAACTATCCCCAGAGGCACATTCTTAGGTAGGGGAAAAATATCTTGATACAGGAAGTGAGATAGGGAATAGTACTGAGCCGTAAAGTCATGTTTATAGAGAGTGAGTGAGTTCAAAACAGAAGTACTAATTTGGAAGGAAAGCAGTATGAATTAAAAACTTACCTGAGATCTGATGACTGTATTTTGATTTGGCAGGGCAGGGGTGAACTAAGGAGAAATTAGGAGAGTAAGACAACCCAGAAAAGAAGCACTGTTTTTTTAATATATATATATATTTTTAAAGATGACCGGTAAGGGGATCTTTACCCTTGACTTGGTGTCAGCACCACACTCTCCCAAGCGAACTAACCAGCCATCCCTATACAGGGATCCAAACCCATGGCCTTGGTGTTATCTGCACCGTACTCTCCCAAGTGAGCCATGGGTTGGTCCTGAAAAGAAGCATTTAGAAGGCTGGAGAGGACTACAGAAAGGGAGGCAAACTGAATAATAGTTATACTTGGTGTTGGATGAAATTAAATAATATGTGAAGCAGTAACACAGTGTTTGATTTTAGTGTTAGGTATGTGTTTGCTGTTAAAGTATATAAGTTGTGAATCTTTAATATAGTTTTCTAAAGTTATAGTTTATTTTCTTAACATCTATTGCATATTAAAAGCCATAATCAAAGTAAAACCTTCCTATACGGTAGTCTAACATGTGCCTACTATTAGCCTATTTCAAAATTATTGTGTTTAATCAATCAGTGTTTGAACCACAGAGCCGTCAGTAAGTTTTTGTGAAAATTGAATTTCCTAAGTTGAGTCACCAATTTTATTTGATCGTACTAATGCCTATTCTTCCTCCTCTATTTTAGAGTATGCGGCTAAAATTGATTGCAAATAATACAACAGTGGAACGGAGATTTAGTTCATGGATTGGTGGTTCCATTCTAGCTTCTTTGGTTAGTAGATAAGCTATTTTGCAAAAATAAGGATTCTTACTGAATTAAATGTACTACTGAAAAATACTAAATTTAGTAAAAATACTAAAAATAATTCCAGAGCTTTATTTGTCTTTGCATTTTATAAGTATCAAAAGAGTGGTGAACCTAATAAGAATACCAGTTTTATGTTTTGATATAACAAAATGCTTCTTTGCCTTACTAGTGGACATTTGTTAGCCTAATTTCTCAGAGAGGTTGAAATATATTAATATATTCATGCCTCTTCTATTAATACCCGCATTGGCACTGGTCAGGACTGTCTGCAATGCATTTAAAATTAAATCTTTCCTTCTCAAGTTCTGGTGTTCCTTCGTGTTGGTGAGGTATGGGAGGTCAGGAATTGCTTGGACTGGTGTCTGCCTTACATCAGAAGAAGGAATCCTTGTGCTTTTCTTTTTCTGTACCCTAGACTTGGAGCATTCCTTTTTACCTCAGAGCTGCCAAAGTAAATGTCACTAAGTACTCAGGCCTTCTGATAATTTTGTTATTGGCTTAGGTTGGCACCAAGCCATCACAGCTAAACCCTCAGTCTTTCTTGCCAGACTGTAACAGGTGTAGAAGGATTTAATATTCTTTCTAACCTTAAAGGCAAGGCTAAATAGTGTCTTTGGAGGGTTCTGGAGGAGGGCAGAAGTAAGAGTAATAAAGTACTATTTTGGGGGAAGGTTTAAGAGTTCTTCAACGTTTAGGAGTTGTGAAAATAAAGATATTAGAAGAAAAAAGTATTTTCTAATAAGTATGGCATAATTATATAATATTTCTTTCCAATTTACAGGGTACCTTTCAACAGATGTGGATTTCCAAACAAGAATATGAAGAAGGAGGGAAGCAGTGTGTAGAAAGGAAATGCCCTTGAAAAAGAGTTCCCTCTCAAACCTCCACCTTCCTGTGTCACCTGTGTTTCATAGCTTTAGTATACTCAGGAAAAGAATGACCATCTTTTCTAGAATGTTTATACATTTTTGCATATTTCAATTTCCACTTAAATTTCTTAAGGCTTTAACTGGCTCTATAAATTAAAATGAGTTTGTGCTTTCCTTGAAATGCACTTATTCTTATTAGAAACATTTTATAATTTTGTATAAATGTCTATTTTCTCTAAATATTTTGCTTTCAGTAAAATGTCTTCCAACTCTGTTTATTATATTAATTACAGTGGATTGGTAGAATTGCTTTTTATTGAGTAGTAAAAGTTACTACCTATGCTTTTTACTTTAGGTTTATAAAATTAAATAAAAATTACAAGCCATTCCAGAAATATTTTTTGGGCTGTTGTGCACTGTGCCTTGATACTTCAAGTACTAAATGTATTTATCATTATTTTGAGTGAAAGTACTCAGTTTATTAACAGTAGTATCCACATCCCCTTCATATCCTATTAACAATAGTAGTAACAATGTTACCTGAATTCTGAAAATTACCCTGTTGCCTTTGGTATGGCAGTTAACATCACTTTTACACTCTTAAGATAGCAGGTGATATTAAAGCCTGCTTAGATGTCAATTTATAAAATGGGAACTTAACCTGAACTTTCTACCTGACTTTAAAAAAATTTGGTCGAGGGCCGGCCCGTGGCTCACTCGGGAGAGTGCGGTGCTGATAACACCAAGGCCCCGGGTTCGGATCCCACATAGGGATGGCCGGTTTGCTCACTGGCTGAGCGTGGTGCTGACAACACCAAGTCAAGGGTTAAGATCCCCTTACCGGTCATCTTTAAAAAAAAAAAAAAAAAATTTGGTCGACACATGACCACTTCCAAAATTAGCATGCCATAATAACACTTAGAACTGATAAGTAACTTGACTGAAAACACAATTTCTTTATAAACCACTTAACATATATTTACTTTTGTATACAGGCTATTATGCAAGAAAAACAAAACGGTAAATTAAGAGTTCGGACATCTTAGACGTGACTTGACTTTTGGGCTTCAGAAAGATGTGGAAACGTTTTCTGAAGAAATTTTTCTTTCTTTTTCTCTAAACTTCTCTTCCTTGCTTCAATACGAGCTTGTTTCTCAATTCTCAGTCTAGAATAAAAAAAGCATAACAGCAGTTTATATAAAACGATTTCCTTGTTACTTAGTACTATCAAAATATATGTACAAATCAATTCCATAAAAGCCTCAATTCTGCCAGTCTCTGTACTTGGTATGGTATATATATTATTAAACTTGAACAATAATCACTATAAAACTACACAAGTCAAGAGATAAATGTGAAATCAAAAGCATCTATAACACTACTCCAACTATCCTTCCTATTTCCTGACTGGAAAGAATGTCCAGATCTTGTGAGCCTGTAACAGATTGGGCCTGAAGTTCACTCCTAATATGACTAATGCTATCTTTCTACTTTATTTAGAAACACTGTAATTTTATTGAGTACATTAGATTTTTGTCATCCTGAGATGTATCCTGAGACTTGTGGGAACTCCTTAATTTCAAATAGCACTCATTCTAGCTTACTGTTTCCATACACACAGAAAATAAAACCTTACTAAGAGATGATACTTTGGCACTGGTTACTTACTACTCTCTAGATGAGTTTGTTCCCACATATCAGCACACCACAAATGCCTGAGGCATTTGTGCCTCAGCTAAATTATTTTGACCTGTAGGGTCACCTGGGAATTATCTAAATTGAAAATGATAAATTCATGGATGCCAAGCCTCTATATATAAATTGATATTTTACAGGATATTTTATTGATAAGTATGCATAAATTTATATAAAATAATGCAATTAAGAGACAAGTACTGAATACAATGAGACAGTGCTATGGGGGAGGTCACATAAATTTGAGATAAGAGTTGAATCTGGGTGGAAACAAATCTGCACATATATAGAAAAAAGTATACACTCAGACTAAACAGTCTAAATGAAATTACCCACTCTATTCATCAACCTTTGTTCAACTAAAAAAACGCATCTGAAAGAAAAAAGGTTTGCTATATTCTGTGAAGGTAAGACTAAAAAAGTTTCAAAAATAAAATTATTAGAGTATGTATAAAGCCTGCAAAAGTAACACTGGATTGATAAACTCTCACACATTTTATTATGTAAGGGGATCCAAATCCTTGACCTTGGAATTACTAACACTACGCTCTAACCAGCTGAGCTAACTGGCCAGCCTTTCTTTTTTCTCATAGATTATTTTAAACGTTGTGTTTATAGCTTGACCTTATATGACTAAGGTGCAAAAGGGCCAAATGGCACAATGTTGGGCTTGGAGAAATCGTGCAGCAAAAAGCCAGTGCAGTTGGATTTCTGTAATTGCTTACCACCTAAACTAGGTCTTTTTTTTTTTTTTTTTTTTTTTTTTTTTTTTTTTTTTTTTTTTTTTTTTTTTTTTTTTTTGTCTTTTGCCGTGTCCGGCAATGGATCGCAACCCTCAGTGTTGCCCCCATACCGGACCGGGGACCGGGAACGGGATTGCAACCCTTGGTGTTGCTCCCGCGCCTCGCTCAGCCAGTGAGCGGGAACCGGCCTGCATGTGGGATCCGAACCCTCGGGCGGGAGCGCTGCCGCGCTTCCCAAGCGGCGCACCATCCAGTGCGCCACCGGGCCGGCCCTAAACTAGGTCTTAAATGTGAATAGGTGGAAAGATTTCAAAGCTGTAAGAACAAGAGAAGCTAAAGGGGAAAATGAGCAAGATACATTTAAGAAATAAGGCAAAGGTTCTAACTTTGATGAGGGGTAGGTAGCTAAGACTAAATTGTGGGAACACTAGGTGGGAAAGAATTTGGATTTTATCCTGTAAACAAAAAGCTACTGTATGTTTTTGAACAACACAGATGTGACTAAAAAGGCTTGAGGAAAATTAGCCAGGAATCAACATCTGAGTGGACTAGAGTGAGAAAGTAATTTAATTTGATGAAGAGGGATTGCACTAGGGCAGAGACAGTGGGAGAAGACAACACAGATCCTGGAGACATTCTGCAGGGAGGATTATATCAAGTATTGACTAAAATCTAGAGCACTGGTGATAAAAGATGACTGACATTTAGTGCCCGCATAGAATAGACATACTATATATAAAACAAAATGAGAAGAGGTGGCTGATTCAGTAGGTAAGATGAACAATTTAAACTGTTATTCTAAGTTATACTAAACACTTCAAAGCTCAGTTTAAGCATACATTCCATTCCTGGGTTTGTTTTTTTTTTTTGGTGGGGGTGGGGCACGCAGCTGGCTGGTACAGGGATCTTGGTGTTAAACACCACACTCTAACCGAGTAACCAGCCAGCTAAATTGTTTCTTAAAAATTGTGTGTGTTTAGTACGGAAATAAGCTTTTGGGGGAGAAAACCAGTTTTTGAAGAACTGCTGAAAGTAGAATGTATTATCCAAGGTAGATATTAAAAACTGTGGTTCTTGTGCTATCAGTATTTCCCTTTTTACTTTCAAGGTGCTTTCCCAGCCTTGAATTCTAATTTCTAGAACCTTTAGCCAGGAACCCTCTTTCTATAGCCATAGCGATGGGAATTGAGCAGCATCCTTGGCCTAGGAAACAACAAACTTAAAATTCTTTTCCCTTCTAACTGCAGTTTTAGGGATTTCACTCTCCTTTGTTTTCTGTCTGCTTTTAGATGTGGATTCAGTTATAAAATAGCTCTTTTTAAAAATCTTTTTTTTTTTTTTTTTTTTTAAAGATGACCGGTAAGGACTTGACCTTGGCTTGGTGTTGTCAGCACCATGCTCTCCCAAGTGAGCTAACCAGCCATCCCTATATAGGGATCTGAACCCGTGGCCTTGGTGTTATCAGCACCACACTCTCCCAAGTGAGTCATGGGCCAACCTTTCTTTTTAAAAATCTTATAATTAGTTTTTATAATTATCAGCTGGTGGTTCATGGGACCACTTCACTCTTCTACCACAACAGAAGCCTTATGTTCTCCATATTCAATGATAAACTTAACAGTGGAAAAATTTTCTGTAGGAAATATTTAGAAATAACATTCTGTGGGACAACATGAATTCAGATATAATGCAACAACCTTCTCATCCTAGCCTCTTTTCTTTTCATCAATAAATAACATGAGCTCACATTTTATGCAACTGAATTATTTGGACCTTCATTTTAACACTACAGTAGGATTTTTTTCTACTCACATATAGGTAGATGAATAGAAGGGCAATAAAACTTTTGAAGGTATATACACTATAATGTTAACAATGGCTATTTCTGGATTTTGAGATCATATATGACTTTAATTTTCTTGTTTACCTGAGTTTCCTATTTGTTCCACAATGAACATGTATTGTTTATGTAACAAGAGAAATTAAAATTTAAAGAAAGCTTAACATATGTCATCTGTGCTCACCTGACAAAACGTTCCACATAAGGCATTGCAAAGAATCGTTTCCTATTGTATCTTTTATTAAGGTGCCAAGGTATAGGCCACTGCTTGAACCTGTGCCTGCCAGGAAAACAAAAAGTCATTGCCTTAACAGAAAACATTTAATACATTTTCACTTTCCTAATTTCCACCCTTTCCTAATTGACTTCGAATGGATTAATCCAAATAAAAATCAGTAGAAAACAGAAGTTTTCAGTGAGACATTTTGGCCATTTGTCTTTTCTGTGTTGGATTAGATGGTTATAGACAGCAAAGCTACTCTCCTAAACCTTGTTCTCTAATCAGCCCCATTACCACAAACTCTGTTTTAAAAAACCTATGAGATGAGTAAGTGCTATTATGTGGTATAATTTCAAAAGTACAAGGAAGGTCTCCAAACAACCAAAATGCCTTCTCCATTCTCCTGATGTTTACAATTCTAACGATGCTTTATTGTGGCTCCTCAACCCAAATGTAAATAAACCCACAGAAGAGAGATTTATTTACAGTGGGCCTTCTCAACAATTTATACCCCAGTTTGAATTTTGCTTATCAGATCCTTTCCCAAAGCCTAATAAGACTCTGAGAACTAGATGTAGGACAGACAAGGAGGTATAAAAAAATAAACTTTCATAATTTGGCCTAGGGCTTATCCTAATGGTAATGGGAGCAAGCTGAAACTGGTTCATGTGACCTTATTCCTTGAGAACTTTTTTTAATAGTCCCAGGTTAATGAGCACAGAGGACAGGTGTGTGTCCTGAAATTAGATTCATGGGTTTTTTTATATCCTTCTAAAATTATATGTGTATATGTACATGTTTCGGGGGAAAGGATCCATCATTTTCATAAAATTCTCAAAAGGTCATATGATTCACATAAGATTGAGAAACACCGCTATAAAAAAAAAAAAACAAAAACGTATAGATAACTGAATCATGAGAATAGGATGTCTGGGCTGGTATTGGTTTTTACCAGATAAAGCTAACTTCATTCATATCCTGGTGTTCCAAAGGGATTTGAGACATCCTCTTATATTAGTTACATCTCTAATATATCTGATATAGTGAGGGTTTTCTTAAAAGATACTGGCCAGGGAATGAGGCTTGGGATCTCCATTTTTATCTTAGAAGAGCCACAATATAATCTATGTACCAGACGATTCTTCCAAAAATGTCTCTTCTCCAAGCACCAGGTCTAGCATTTTCTTGACCAGTCTGAAGAAGCCTTAGGGCATCTTCTCTTTCTTGGACAACTTTATCTAAGGCATCCATGGACTCTACTACCTGAGAAGAGAATAGAAAGATACAATTTCAACAATCATCTACAACAGAATTCCAGAGAAAAAGAACATAAAAAGACTTAGGCTACAGAAAATCTACGATGAATATTTTTGTCAAAGAACCAATTTGTCAAATATTTCCTAAAAATCTTTTTGGCACAGGTATGTACAAATGGGTGTCTACGATAGCACTTTCTATAATTTTTTAAAAGTTTATAATTTCATTTAAATGAAAATGTATTTAGCTTGGATTTCCATATTAGTTTTGTTTGAAGTGGGATACACTTGTATAGATTCCTTTTGGAAACCAAATTTGACTCAAAGGTAGCAAACTGTTACCACTTGTTACTAGCTCACTGAGTTTTGAAACAGAATGAATCATGATTCTACAGAGTTAATATTCAAATGTCTATGTCAACAGAGTCTGGTTTTATCTCAAATGGGTATTTATTACGTTAGTCACAATCATAGCTAACTATGCTGCCAGAATTACAGTTTCTCCCTCAAATTAAGTATTATTCTGTAAATAAAATGTGTCTGTAATATGCTTGAACTGGGTATTAACCCAGATCAGCCCAATGATTGGAATTATATTCCAATTATAATTCTCATGTTTCTCTTTTATTCTTCCTTAAACAGTTCCAAATTTTCATTTTATATCTTATATTGAGAATAATTCTTTTTTGATTTTTGCTTGATGGGGTTTCACTAGTAGTATGTCACAAAATACTGGGAACACTGGATACATTTGAGATTTTAAAAATAATTATTTTCACTTTCAGATTATCTGGAGTAAACGTTTATTATTTTGGATTCTCCTAATTCAGAAAGTGCCACACATATACGGTACTACTGAGGCAATGTTCACCTCTGAAATACATATTTAAAGCAGGGAGAGGGGAAAATCAGTTATTAAAGTCCAAAAGTCTTGTAACAGCATCATTCTAGAAGCTTTCCATCAAACACTGTGTTATTTATAAATCACCCTTACTTGTCAATGCACTTGAGTCTCCAAAACATAAATTTCCTCAATAGCAGAGTTAGCAAATATACCTTAAAATAAATCAGATTACCTTATAGATATTACATAGCAATGAGCATACCTACCAGCTCTTAGTTTCTAATTAACTAGGTTCTTCTGTAAAATGGCTGGGGCAAATTCAAGATAAATCCAGAACATCTTGCTGTGCCTCATCAAAGCACAATGAGGACACATGGCCCAGCCTGAAGGAACTCACACGGACCAAATCTGGGATGCTGGTATTAAAGGGTTATAACAGTGAATAAAATTGAATCCATGAGTCCACACTGATAGGAATGAATGAATGAAGAAAGAAAGAAATGGGGAGAAGGAAAACCACTTCCTTACAGAAGAAAGCCAAGTAATAAATGTAGAATGAATAAAAGGATTAGAAAATCACTATTTAGCAAAAATAATAATAATCGATTCAGACAAAAATCATCAATGGGGGCTGGCTGGTAAGCTCAATTGGTTAGAGCGAGGTACTGATAACACCAAGGTCTAAGGTTCAATCCATGTACAGGCCAGGTGGGAAAAAAAAAAAAAAAAAAAAAAAAAAAGAAACATCAATATATGCCAGAACTTGCAAGTGAAAGTTGAGAAGTTATAGGATATTTACATGATTGCAAAGTATCTCCTAACAAGATATTTATTTCAATTCAAAGAAAAAACAGTAACTATACAGTGGAGAAACTTGACAGACATCATCTTAACCAAGTTATTAATGGTAACATCATCAGTATCAGAACAAACCAACATCTTGTGCTCCTGATCTGAGGTATCTGTGAAGAACACAGCATCGCTTCTATGATATTCCTGCCAATCTTATCAGGAGAAACATCAAACAAACACAAATTGAGGGATTGGCCTATACTCTTCAAAAATGTCAATGTCATGAAACATAAAGATTGAGCCTTCAGATTAAAGGAAACTAAAGAGACACAGAATCTGAAAATGCATGATGCAGAGGGGTTTTTTTTCTATAAAGGACATTGTTGGAATAATTAATGAAATCCGAATAAGATCTGTAGATTATAAGTAATAGTATTGTATCAATATTAATTTCCTGACTGAAAATTTTACAGAGGTTATATAAGGGAATATTCTTTTTTGGGGAAACATATAATTAAGTTTTTATGCATAAAGGGACATCATGTATACAACTTACTCTCAAACAGTTGAGAAAAAAATAGTGTACCTGGAGGAGGTGAGGCAGAGAAGGATAACACAAATGTGCTAAAATATTCACATGAGGAATCTGGGTGAAGAGTACATGAAAATTCTTTGTGCTATTCTCATAACTTCTCGTATTATGTACAAATGAAATTAAAAAAACAAAAATGTAATTCAAGTTTTGCCAAGTCAGAATAACCTTCTTCATAATGAGGTTTTATTCCATACCTTCTTTAACCTTCTCCAGGGATGTTATGTCCTTCCCTCTTAAAGGAAGTGTTCCAATAATGGTTGCAACTAGTGTGGGAAAGGAACCTAAAGTAGCTGAGATTAGGCAGCAGGACTAAAGTTCTCACAAAAACTGAGTTCTGTTCTCACTGACTACTTACTACAGCACAGAAAAATCAGTAAAGGGGTGACCTCAAAAGTAATCTAGGAAAAACCTTACAAATCTAAGTAAAAATATAAACTTCTACATGGAAAAAATACCTTAAACATGGGAAGAAAAAAAAAAAAAGAGGCAGATCTACATCTACTGATATGGGAAAATATCCAGGATACATAGTTAGGTGAAAAATGTTAAGTTTCAGAAGAATATATACGGTATAAGCAAATTTCTATAAATAAAAATAGACACAGTTCTCCATGTATAGAAAAATTCTGATGGATAAATAAGACTTAAATAAGTCACTTACGACTGGTTACCTTGGGGAATGGGAATAGGAACGCAAGAGATTTTCCTTTAATGATGAAGAAAACCTAATGTAAAAAATAGCTGACCTTTTCACGACATTGTGAATATACTTAACACTACTGAACTGTACACTTAAAAATGGTTAAGATGGTAAATTTTACATTGTGTGTTTTTTACCATAGTAAGAAAAAAAATGCATTAAAAACTTGATCTCATTAGTGAGGATGTGGCTAATCTGAAACTAGAAATGTAAAATGGTATAGCTACTTTAGCAAATAGTTTGGTTGTTTCTTAGTATCTACTCAAGAGAAATGAAATCTCCTCAGTATCTACTCAAGAGAAATGAAAATATATGTCCACACATATGTTGGGGGTTGCAAGTGGGAATGTGTAACCTTCCCTGCAGATGGTTATGAAATTTACTTTTGGGGTGATGGAAATGTTCTAAAATTTGATAGTTGTGATGGCTGCATATATATTTACTAAAGATCAAACAGAAACAGAAAAAAGAAATTCAATTGATAAGAAATAAAGGAACCATATACTCAATCCTTTTAGCTTTTATCCTGCACCATGGTCTCTAGCCTCGTACAAGCCTTACCTTTTCTAACCTCTCTGGACTTGGCATTGGCAATCTTTGTCGCTTGGCCTCCTGCTCTAGAGTTAGGAGCATGTTTCTTTCTTTCAGTAGGACATACCTATAGCAAAGAACACAAACCTGTGATTCTTTTCTGTGGTTATGTTAATTAAAGTTGTGATTTTTTGACATCAAAATTAATGATCTGTTCTAGAAAGTCCTTTAGAAATCTCAATATAGAGAATATCATTACAAAGAACAATACTTTTTATGGAGCTATATCTTTGCTTATTCATTTGTTCAATAAACTTTCCATGTGCCTCATATTGTATTAAGTGCCAGGAGAGTTATCAAAAGGCATAACACATAATCCCTATATTCCAAGTGGAGAGAGAAGAAAAGGAAGACGGGTGATAAGTAACACTGAGCACCTGTTATATGCCAGGCAGTGTGCTAAGCACTTCATGTACATTATTTCATTTAATTCTCACAACAACCTTTTCTACTTTCTAAATGAAGAAACTAAGGCTGAGAAAAGTAAGGTATTATGGGCCACACAGCTAATTCAGGATTCAAATTCCAGACTCCCTGTATGCAAAACCTATCTATTTTTATTCCACCATGCTGCTTCTAAAACTTCTGTAATGTGGTATATTGAGTGGGACAGACAAGTACCAGAGGAATTAAGTGGGAAAACTGAGACATCTCTTCAGCTGAGATGGTCAGTGATAGCTTCATAGAGGAGATGGGATTTGTTAGGATGGAAGGGAGAGCAAAGAAAACAATTAAAGATACTGAAGCAACAGAACTAAACTGGTGGTTCTGTGAAAATATCTCTTTTGAGAATCAGAGTTGGAAGAAAGGAAAGAAAATAAATGTGGAGGGCACTGAAAATGAGACATAGGAATTGGGGTGCTTTATACTATGGAAGAAGACAATTTTGGAGAAAAGAGTGGCAGAAGATTAATGGTTTAGTTTTAGCCACAATGGATGTTGAAACAGCCCTAACTATCCTTACTGATAACCCACAATAACAGTGCTTTAATACAACTCATTTTTCTTTAATGAATAAACACATGATACTAGTGATTTGTATAGATACTTTATAATTCTTTAATCTGCAATAAGAGATAAGTAACCCTTTAATTCAGGGGAAAAAATTTTAAATGCCTACTTCAGTGCCTAGGCAGATAACAGTTACAAGTGAAGCGGGCTTGGTGAAAGAACAGCAGGGTGGGTAAGGAGAAGTTGTGTGCACTGCTCCATCTAGAAGGGGCAGCTGCTACACAGAACAACTAGGTGTTGCCGTGTAAGAATGCAGGGCCAGTGCCCCAGATCGCAGGTCTGATTATTCAAAAAGCCAGAAATCCTTACTTTTTGTGTGAAGTTTGCCAATTTAAAAAACAAGTACAGTCCAAACAAAATATATCTCTGGACTAAATGTAGTCAATTAAAAATGCAACTCTATCTTAAATCTTCTCAACTCTAATTCATCAGGAGAATCTGCTAGAAAAATCTATCTACATTTCCAATTAAATGCACCTTCCAACACATCCACCCCCCAAGCAAATAAGCTAAAGATTCCAGACCATGAAAAAGGTAATAAAAAAAAGGGAAGATTAAATGTGAACAAATGTTCCCATTTCATTTTATTACTTAGGTTTACTGAAATTGCTAATATAAAGGTGTTAGTAATGACTGGTAGCAGGTACAGTAAAATTTCTAAACCTACAAGTACGTGAGAACTGTGATACTTTTGTCTTATGTAATCTAACCTCTGTCATATTTATAAAATCTTTCATGATCTCATATGTCATATGTATCATCCACAGTACTACAAATCACTTCATTCAATTTCTTATATCATATGGATGTAAAATTTTTACATTTTTATTATTTTTTTTATTTTTTATTTATTTATTTTTTCCTTTTTGTCTTTTTTCATGTCCGGCAACGTATCGCAACCCTCAGTGTCGCGCCTGTACCGGACCGGGGACCGGCAATGGGATCGCAACCCTCGGTGCTGCGCCCGCCCCTTGCTCAGCCAGTGAGCGGGAACCGGTCTGTATGTGGGATCCGAACCCTCGGCAGGAGCGCCGCCGTGCTCCCAAGCGGCGCACTGTAGCAGTGCGCCACCGGGCCGGCCCAAAATTTTTACATTTTTATACTGTTAAGTGCTTCAAACTCCTAGATGTAATGTACTTAATATACTTACCAAAGTTTATGTAAATCTTCATTACTTTTGTTCCTTAATTGCTGACAGGTCCATGAAGCTCCTGTTAAAATGATAAATTCATTACATGAAATAATGTTTCTACCTATGTGCTCTTGGCAAACTACTTAACCTCTCTAAACATGTTTTCCTATCTATAAAATATATAATAGCTTTATTATATTAAATAACATAATACATAATTAGGATTATATTAGATAACACATATGAAAATACTAATAACGTGACCGGCAATAGCATTAGATAAAATTAGCATTAGTATGGAATGTATTTTTATACCCTAATGTCAAAATACTTTGTATCATTACAGATTAATTTTCACTTATCACTAAAATATGAAATCTACAATAAACCCTAAACCTTACTTTAGTTAATAATTTCAATGTACTCTTCTTCTTAACCTACTCTTCTTTGCCAACCTGCCAAGAAACTATTACCTCTACTATTATATCATCCTTTTAATTTTCTCTAGTAGATGGACCCAAAGGAAATCAAAAAAGGTAACACCTGAATAGCTCCTAAGCTGTATAAATACCAAAATGATGAAGGGTTCAATAAACATTTAATGTTCACAAATGCAAATATCTCACCAGACTTCACTTTTTCTTCCCCCCAATTCTTTGGATCATCAAAAAATTCTTCCAGTCCTTTCCTTGACAATGTGGTATGAAGTAATCTACACTGGTGAAAGGATGTGACGTTTGGTGTATTCTTAGGCAACAAACTAACAGAAAACCTGCAACTGAACACACATATATATAAACATATGTAACTGAACACATATATAAATAAGTGATTAAAGTTTTACAATATTTGGATTTTATAAGCAATAAACTGAATCATTTCCTAATCTACAATGTTAAAAAACCTGCTCAGGGTTTCTGCACAAGAAGCAATAAACTTTCAAAATGCTTTAGAAAAGTTATTTTTAATATTGTATTGCAGAGGGTGCTACCCTATAATTTCCAAGTAATACATTTACACAATCATATATATATATATATTTTTTTAAAAGATGACCGGTAAGGGGATCTTAACCCTTGACTTGGTGTTGTCAGCACCACTCTCTCCCAAGTGAGCTAACTGGCCATCCCTATATGGGATCTGAACCCGTGGCCCTGGTGCTATCAGCACCGCACTCTCCCGAGTGAGCCACGGGCCGGCCCTACACAATCATATTTTAAGGTAATATTTTTAGGTCCTTTCTGCACTGCTAGTGGGTGCATGAGCAGGTAAAACATTCTCAAGGTGAATTTTGCAACATGTATCAGGGGCCCAGAATGCTTCCTCCTTTACTTCAGTAATTCTAACTCCACATCTAGAAATGTCAACTAAAAAACCTATAGATGGGAAATCATAAATTAAAATGTCTATTAAAACATTATATTTGGTATCAAAAAAGTTGATAATTACATAAATGTGCAAATGGTGAACAGTTAAAAAAAAGTGCATCTGTATGATAAACTATTTAATGATCTTAATATTTAACGATTTAAAACAAAATAGTGAAGTGTATCACAAGTGGTATATTCCTACCAAAAGTATTTAACCAGAATCTAATCATGAGGAAACAATCAGACCAATCCAAATGCAGTGATATTCAAAAAAAGCTAATCTTATCAAAAATGTCAACATCACTAAAGAGAAAAAAAGGAACTGTTCCAGGCTGGTCACTTAGCTCAGTTGGTTAGAGCATGGTGCTGATAACACCAAGGTCCAGGGTTTGATCCCTGGACTGGACAGCTGTCCCCCCCACCCCCCAAAAAAGAGAACTTTTCTGGATTAAGGGGCATGTAAACTAATGCAATAAATGATCCTTCATTAGATACTGAATCAAAAAGGAAAAAAAAAAAAGGAAATTACCAGGGAAATTGAGGACATTTGAATTTGGACTATATGCTAGATAATAGTAGTATAATAATAGTAGTGTATCAATATTAAATTTCCTGTGTGATCACTGTATTGTGGTTAAGAGAATGTCCTTATTCTCAGAATATATATAATGAGAGGACATTTTTTTGTGTGCCAATAAAACACAATAAAAGAAGGAATTAAAAAGACAAAGAATATATATGCTGAGGTCATGATGTATGAAATTCTGACATGCTTCAAATAGTTCAGAAAAAAAAGAGCATGAATATAAATAGACAAAAAATGTGACAAAACTCTGATTGATTAAAGTAGGCAAAAAGTATATGGTTATTCTTTGTACTACTCTAACAACTTTCCTGTTGGTTTGAAATTTTTTTAAATAAAAAGGAGAAAATGGTAGAGCACAAAAATACATATATGTAAATAAGATCCTAATCTTATTTAAAAATTGTACGTGTGTGTATATATGCAAAATTTAAAAGAATGGAAGGAAATCCGTTTGAGTGGTAGAAGTACGGTAGTTGATTTTTCCTTTCTTCATAATACTTTACTCCATTTTCCAAAGTGAATAATAAAAATGCTACAATTATTTCCTTTTTAAGGAAAAGGGACGAAGTAGAAGAGACAACTGATCCAAGACTGCCACCTTGATCAAATTACAACCTCTGAGCCTCTACAATATGAAAAAATTTTTTCTTATTTCTGAGGTTAGAGTAATAAAACATTAGCACATAACAGATGCTCAATAATCGCTTGTGCAGTCAAAAGCAGATATATCACTTCCTTCAAAAATATGACGTACCCTACTGTTTATAAAATCAAACATTATAGACAAATGCCAATAAAGGGGAGGAAACCGTACACCGTAAAATAAAAAAAATGATCGGTCTGTACAGAAGACAAGTCTTTCCACCTCGAAATAAGAAACACTATTTATAGGAAGTTCCTTTCTCACACCTGCAAGGCAACTTTCTGTTCATTTGGCAATTTTCATTATTTATTCAACATTTACTGAAAATCTCTCTGTGGGAGATCCTGGACATACAGGGACCCCGTCTTTTTTATCCATCCACACCCGACACAGCCTTTAGTTCACAACAAAAAGTTCTTCAGTGAAGTTTTTTCCCAACCCACACAGCCCAAAAGGATGCTTCTGTAACTGTAGGTTTAATTCGAATACTGGGAATCTACAAACCCCATATACTGTCTGGTGCACGGCAACAGGCAACAAAATGTTTGAGGAAGGAATGGAAATGTCGGCGACGGGTGACTTCTCCAAGGTCACTCACTCCTCACGGAGGTGGGTTCAGGCTCTGCCATTCAGGCGGCCTTTCCATCCCTGAGCTGTTCTCGACATCTCGGCAAGTAAACAAGATCCAATGTTGGAGAAGTGGACAAACCTACTCCTCACATCACTTACCCTGTGCTAGCAGGGGCCTGAGGAGTTATTAATGACCTGGAAGCCTGCAGCGTAGCTGAAACTCTTCTACAAAGAACGGCCAAACTGGCCGCAGCCATTTTTTCGCATAACTAAGCAAACCGCGTTTCCGCCAACAACGGCGTCACTTCCGTTGTTTTACGCCAACCAGATTAAGAGACCAGAAACAGCTTTTGCCCTCACTCAAAATGGCGATCTTCCGCCTAGGCCCTCACCGGTAAATTGACTCTCTCGGCTTCCGTTACTCTCTCCGCTTTATCCTCTTGCCCTTCGTAGCCATGGCGGCCATGAGCTTGTTGCAGCGGGTTTCGGTCACTACACTGGCAGCTCTGTCTGGCCGCCGCCTCGGTGCTCGACTCGGATTCGGGGGCTTCCTCATCCGTACCTTGCCGAAGACTGTCGGTGGGTGCTGGCCTTGGGAGAAAGTGCGTGCAGGGGGTGTGGGGTGAGAGATGGGAGGACTCTTCCCGGGTGACCTTGGGTCCGAAGGGAGGCGAGACAAATTGTCGGTTTGGGGCTTGAGAGGACAGACGGAGCACGAGCTGTGTGAGGGCTTTCCTGAAGTAATCAGTTCAGTCACGTTTAATTGGTTACTTAGCGTTTGTAAAACACTGCCATTCACCGATCCCAATTGATAATAATTTGTGGATGAAACTGAGACTAGAATGGCATACAGGTGAGACTTGTGTCTCGAGGGCACCAGATTCTTGGTACGTCCCACCTGCACTAGGTTTTAGTCCCACAGATGGGAAGGCATGTTGCTGAGAAGCCCACTGATGGTAAGTAAGATGTAGACAAGTAGAGAGGCCAACTTACCTGTTAGGCACGAGTAGATAAGGATCCTTACAGAGCCCATGATAATTTTGGGGCCCCCGAAAATGTTTTAATTTAAATATCTTTTTAAAAGGCTAGAATGCTAATGAGTATGTGATAATGAATCCAGCCTGAGTTGTATTCGTTTTATAATCATGATAGCAACGTATCAAATGCTTGGTATTCAGTCTGTCTTATTCTTTAAAAGACTCTGCAAAGTAAATGCGATGTTACTATCCCCATTTTACAGGTGAAGAAACTGACTCAATTATTACAAAAATAATGCACCCAGGGCTGGCCGGTTACCTCGGTTGGAGTGCAGTGTTACACACCAAGGTCAAAAAATCGATCCTCGTACCAGCCAGCCTCTAAAATAATAGTAATAATAATGCACCACTATACCAAATTAATAATAATGGCAGCCAACACTTATTGAGCACTTATGTGTCAGGCACCATTCTAAGGCTTTAATGTAGTAATTCATTTAATCCTCTTGATCAAAGATATGCTGTACTGTAAGCTATTTGCTCTATGTAATACAAGTAGGTAGAGAGGAAGTGAGACTTTTACCCTAAAGCCAGAAAGACCGTCTCCAACTTCAAAATATCTTCTCCAACTTTAAAATATCTTGTCCTATTTTACTCCTCTTCTTTTCTCCCAATTTAATTTGAATTATGCCAGTTCACATGAGGAGGCAGTGTACATGGGGACTTGCAGGAAGCATGATGGAAAGGACCAGTGTGGCATTCAACAAATTTCCAGCAGGAATTTGAACTTGTCACAAAACATGTGCTGACATTCCTTGATAAAATCCCTTTGTAAGCCATTTCTGAATTCTGATATCATCAAATATTCAAAAGCAAATCCTTCAGGTACTCCCCCAGATAGTATTTAGTTAAGTCTAGCTGGAGATAAACTGAGGTAAAATTTCACCTCCAGTTTCTCTTTCTGCAGTGTTCCCCATTCTTGGAGTTCTGGAAGGATCATCGCAGTAGTCTATGCCATCTCCAATGGGAGCAGGGAAAGATCTAATATCTATACTAAGGGTTCATGTGTTTCAGCTGTGTACCTGCTTTCAAAGATATTTTGCATGTCACTGTGGATTGAAGGGTTTTAATCTCTTATATTATTGGTTATATCTGCCCCTGCAAGAATGTAAGCTCCAGTATAGTAAGGGTATCTTTTCTTGTTTTGTTTTCTCTGGCATTAGACTGCCTAGGTTCAAATCCTGGTTCCAGAATTTAAAAGCTCTGTGACCTTGGAGTCATCACTCCTTGGAAGCTAAAGTTGGAAGGCACTTAATTGCTGGTGACCTGCATTTCTTCATCTTTCAAAAAGATGATAATTTTAACCTACCTCACAAGATAGTTGTGAAGAGTGAATGGGAAAAATCTGCAGTACCTGGCATTAGCCTTTTAAAAAAAAATTGTGATGAAATACACATAAAATAAAATTTATCATCTTAACCATTTTTAAGTGTATAGTTATGGGATATTAAATACATTCAGAATGTGCAACAATCACCGTCATTCATCTACATAACTCTTTTCATCTTGTAAAACTGAAACTCTGCACCCATTAAACAATAGCTCTCCATTTCCCCCATCCACTCAGCCCCTGGCAACCACCATTCTACTCTGTCTCTATGATTTTGACTACTCTAAATACCTCATATAAGTGGAATTGTACAGTATTTGTCTTTTTGTGACTGGCTTGTTTCACTTAGTATGTCTTCAGGGTTCATCTATGTGGTAGCATGTGTCAGAATTTCCTTCCTTTTTAAAGCTGAATAATATTCCATTGTATGTATATACCACATTTTCCTTATCCTTTCATCTGTCAACAGATACTTGGGTTAGTTTCACATTTTAACTGTTGTGAATAGTGCTCCCACGAACATGGATGTATAAATATCCCTTCGATTCAATTCTTTCAGTTCTTTTGGGTGTACCTCCATATCCTTGGGTTCCAAATATGCAGATCTTACCAATTGTGGATCAGAATTGTTTGGAGGGCAGAAAAAAACAATACAGCAATAAAAAATAGTAAAAGTAAAAAACATATAGGGCTGGCCAGTTAACTCAGTTGGTTAGAGCATGGTGTTATAACACCAAGGTCGAGGGTTTAGATCCCAGTACTGGCCAGCTCCTCCCCCAAACAAAAAAAGATACAGTATAACAACTACAGTATTTACATATCATTTACATTGTTTTAGGTATTATAAGTAATCTAGAGATAATTTAAATTTAATGGGAGGATGTGCATAGGTTATATGCAAATACTATGCCATTTTATGTAAGGGGCTTGAGTATCCATGGATTTTGGTATCTGTAGGGGGTCCTGTAACTGAGGGACAACTGTAGGCCCAAAAGTGGAATTGCTGGATTATATGGTAATTCTATCCCTAATTATTTGAGGAATCGCCATACTATTTTCCATAGAGATGCACCATTTTACATTCATGCCAGTAGTGTACAAGGGTTCCAATTTCTCCACATTCTTGTCAACACTTGTTATCTTCTGGTTTTTTGATAGTAGTCATCCTAATGGGTATACCATAGTATCTCTTTGTAGTTTTGATTTGCATTTTGCTAATGAGTAGTGTTGAGTGTCTTTTCTTGTGCTTTTTGGTCATTTGTATATCTTTGGAGAAATGTCTTTTCAAGTCCTTTGCCTATCATTTAATTGGGTTGTTTATTTTTTGTTACTGATTTTTAGGAGTTTTCTATATATTCTGGATATCAATCCCTTAGCAGATATGATTTGCAAATATTTTCTCCCATTCTGTGGGTTGCTTTTTTTTTCTGTTGATATGTCTTTTGATACATAAAATTTTTAAAATTCATGAAGTCCAGTTTATCTGTTTTTACCTTTGTTGCCTGTGGCTTTGGGGTCCCAGCATTAGCCTTCTACAGGGCCCTGTGGCCACACCTTTCTTAAATATCTACTGCTTTCATGCTTTCTTCATTCATCCTCAGTGGAAAACTTTCTCAGAAAATAAGATAAAGGTAGTTTCTCTATTTAATTAAATTATTTGTTAAATGTCAAATATCAAGGAATTCCAGAGATGAGCTTAAGTCCTCCCCATCAGCTGCAAGGAACCTTAATTTACAGATGAAGACTGATGTGCACAAATTATAGTTACAAAAAATGAGAAGACTATTAAAATGGAATATAAACCAAGTGAAATGGAGTTAATTCAGATATAGAATATACATCATTTTAACTGAATTTTGTTGATAGTTTTAACAGATGAAACTGGAAGAAAAGTAAAGGATGAGTTTTCTGATATGTCTAGATATGGGGCTCTTGAGACAGGTAGGTGTTGAGAGAGAAGGCTAAAAAAGGGAGATTGGGACCCAATTGGGGGAGAGGAAGGACTGAATACAAAGCCAAAGTGTCTTCACTTTACTTTGTAGGCAACAGAGAGTGTTTTAGCAGAAGAGCATCATCAGTAGTGTGTTTTAGGAAGATGTTTCTGAGTATTGGATGACTTATAGTGGGTGTTGATTACTTAAGCCAATAAGGTAAAGAAGGCATGGAAAGAAATGAAGAGTTGGAATCTTAGAATCAGAGGCCTTGACAAATGATGAGTGAGGGGTAAGTGCAAGGAAGATGATGGAGATTTTTAGCTTGAGTAATGGAGATGGTGGTGCCCTTAACTGGGAATGAGGGAAATAAAATGACCAATTTTCGATTGTTGTCTTTAAGATGCAAAAAAAAAATTATTTTTCGCTGGAGGCACATATTGGGATCTGAACCGTTGACCTTGGTGTCATCGGCACCAGCTCTAACCAAGTGAGCTAACTGGCCAGCCCAAGATGCAAAAAGTTTCTACATTACCTGGTTCAATCCTCACAAAAATAACAATTGTCAAAGATTTAATAACTTTCCCGAAGCTATCTCCTTTTAAAAAAATTGGTTATTGAAGCCTTCAACCTTTGTAATTAATGAATATCTAATTGAGAATTTTCAGGCTTTAGAGAGTGGTGGAAGATGTCTACTTCCATGGCAGGAGGATCTGAATTCCAGAAATCCTGGCAGTCACCTGGTTGTTCACCCTAATATTTTTATATTGTAAGCAGATGGCCCTACTACATCAACAGCAAATCATGAAGGTTCAGAACATTTAAAAAGAGTTTAGTGCTATGAAATATACTTTAGAACAATGTGATAAGTTATCTAGCATATCTAATGACATGAATAGTTGTTTAACAACTGGGTAAATTGGTATGTGTAAAGAAAGAGCAAGCAGTTCACGTTACTA